TATTTGTAATTATTGTTTTTTACTCCAAAAGCCCATAACAACCTTTAAAATAAACATTTATTTACCAAAATATATAAATTTAAATATAATCTGAGGCCCCTGAAAAGCTTAGTTCCGGCCCTGTTCAAACACTGCTTGCTGCTCCGCAGGGGGAACATGTGCATCTGCAGTTAAAGTAGGTTTCTCTAGCTGATGTTTTAACACAACAGTAAAGTTTGCAATGAATGAAATATCTGCTGAAGTGTCCGACGTTCACAGTATAATGACGACAGTGACTTAGCGTTAGCTGATTTCCATATTTAGTTTTGCTTACAATAAGCAAGGTAACAGTTAATAAAAAGTTTAGATATAAAAAGAAAGTTTCAGGTTTGCTTTTTAGGGGCTGCAGTTTCACTGATTTGATCAATATCATGGCAATGAGGCACAATTAAACCACGTTACATTTGTTTTGTCAGATCAAGAAAGTAAATAAGCTGCTGTGATAATAATGGGATAACTTTTAAAAATCTTGATGCTTGCACATTGCAGACCAAAGTGAAAAAAAAATTAAAAGTAGAGATATTGACAGTTATTATTATTATTATTATTATTTCTAAAGCAAAAAATCAAGGGGTGAGAAGGAAGAAGAGACTAAGAGTTGAGAAAGGAAGATAGAGAGACCAGGAGGGCCACAGGTGAAGAAGATGAGGAAAGTGATGTCAGCATGAGTGGTGAAGAAGAGATGATTTCAGAGTCAGAGAGAGAAAGAAGACAGCAGAGGAAACTGAAGGAGAGAAGGAAGGCACAGAGTCAGAGAATCCAGCCTATATCCCATCTGGACCACCTGGTATGTAGTACAAATATATTAGATGTTTCAGTGAATAACACATTATCTGTACAAGTCTGTGTGTGTTATGGAATTAGATATTCCAGGCTTAATAAATATAATCAATTCATGTTCTAATTTTAGTTAACTACAATAAAAATAAGTATGTGTGTATACATACATACATACATACATACATACATACATACATACATACA